AGCATAAAACACAGTTTTAAGTAACAGTGTCGCATGCGCACAGCAGCAGAGTGGTTTAGTTTTGTGTGAAAACATGGAGGAAAAGCTGGGAGGTTTTAAAGAGTGCTAAGGGAATTATACAAATTAATATATGGATGAATTAATTATATGAATGTACCTCTGAAGATTCTGACTGTCTTCAGAAAATATTTGATGGCATTTTGTTTTCGTCTTCGCTCCATGTAATACCTAATAAAGTAGTGTTTTAAGCACAATGCTGCTTTGTCCTTGGAGGTTATGGGAAACGGCTCTAATTCTACTGTTCCAAAAGCTACAGAGAGTGGATTTACAGAGAGTTACATTTACATTCAGCCTGGGTGCAGTTTTTGTCTGGGCCAAAAAATGGACCGAATTTGCATGCCCTGCTGTAAATTTTGACCGGTTGATGAAAAACAAGCTTATTTTGCTTAATACATATAATCATTTATTAATCAATTATCATTTTGACTTGACCCTTTTCTTTATTTAAAAGCTGAAATGTGAGGTTTACCATTTATGAAACTTTTTCAAAGCTTTATTTGAACATTTACATTAGATATTTGAACATGCTATTAGATAAACTGTTGTCAGTCATGTTGTCATTTAAAATCCAGACATCATTGGCAATGTTGTTGTTTTAGTTATGCAAACAAAAACTCATTTTATTTGTTGTTTGTTGAATTTAAATGTAAAACTTGGTGAAATGATTTGTGTGTCAGTACTTTTTGAACATTTCCAGCACATTTTAACAATACCGTGATAATACTGATAACTGATAATTTTGGTCACTATAATCGTGATTAGAAATTTTCATACCGTTACATCCCTTGCTGATAGACGATAGTATCGTGTATCTACGATAGTCAGAGATATCACCTGTAGCTGGTGCTTTGACGATATCAAGACGATTATTATTATTATTATCAGGCTAGTATTATTATCTAATTAATATTAGGGCTTATTTGTTCCATCATATTTCTTTTTATGGGTTTTTACAGTGTTGCGCATTATAACTAATCACACACGATTCCGTTGAGTTTATGAATGCAGCGGCCAATCAGAGGCGTTCAGATGAGTCATCGCTGAACACCAGAGTTTTGTTCAGTGCACACGCTCGCTGAATGAATTCTGCTCGCTTGCGAGTTCTCATCATAAACAACAAAGTGCAGATGTATGTGCGATGCACATATACTTTTAAAGTGCAAGCGGGCTAGACTGAAGTCGGTGATGATGTTCTTTGATAATGTAAATGTTCTTTGCTCGTTTTCTGTAGCTGCTGTTTGAATAACTGAGGAAATGTAAGCATTATAATAAGTAACTTAATGTTTTTGTTAAATTGTTAAATACAGAAACTGTCTTATTAAAAATATTTTATGACATGACATCCATATGCTACTTGACTAAAAAGATATAATGTGTAGTTAAAGGATTAGTTCACTTCCAGAATAAAAATTTCCTGATAATTTACTCACCCCCATGTCATCCAAAATGTTCAAGTCTTTCTTTT